ACTAATCATAATTTGGGATTTGGGATTTGGGATTTCAGCATTTGGGATTTCGGCATTTGGATTTTGAATTTGGGTGATAGGTATATCTAGTAAATCGCTTCGTAGATATGAAAATTAAGTGTGTAGACCCTTTGGGTTATGATCCAAAGAAGGGGTAGAGTCTCGAACTGGAGATTCATCACCTAATGACTTACTTGGCAATAAAGTCCTTGTCCCATACTTCTGCTTATAATATCTATATGCTCTTTCTCTACCTTGACCATATGGTATACAAAATTGAACACTAGATTTAGTCCCTCAGTCACATCCTTTACATGGTTGTAGAATTATTACACCTTTTCGAATCTTGAATGCATGGGAAGCACAATATTGTTCTTTCGTTTGATTTCTACAGAAACGAGTCTCTGAAACTAGTAACCAATTGCAAGGCATTTTTTGGCTATGCTTAGCAATTTACTGTTATTCTATTCTCGCTTTCATATTTAAAATTAAAGTTGGGATAATATATTACTTAAAATTTATTGAATCGATTTATCATGACAATATATCGAGGAATATATATTCCTGTAAGTGGTCCTCCAGAAGTGAAAAGAATTAATACCACTAATGAAGAAATCTGTCGCCTACTAGAATATATCAATAGTTGACATATTACTATTTGCGACTTGGACAATTATGATCTTGCTATATTATATGATGATGATGCTTATGCTAAATCTTTACCTCAGAATCCATTAGCGACTCGTCTTATATATCAACGAATGGGACAGGATGATTTACCACCAATTCGAGGGCCTGTTATATTAGTTGACGATTACAGAAAATTATCTCTCAAAGATCTTTGTAAATTATTAAAAATACCCTATAATAAGGAGTGGATTGAAAATGCCAGTAGGAAAATGTTAGAAGATGTACAGGTTTTTTTGAAGTGACAGCAAGATACTAAAGATTATACTTTGAATGCGAAATGAGATATTTCTTCAAAGAAGTACACTCCATGTATTGGAATATTTTTTTATCTGAATTTTTATATTGCCTATCTGTAGAGAGCAAAAAATCTCCCTATATCAAAGCTCCTACTTGCAAAATTCATCTTATTCGTTCCTTATCGACTAAACAATTACCATAACATACCATTTTCCTGGAGTACATTAATCGTTTTTTTTCACTTCTCGTTGGTATCCAGCCATGATGAGGTGATTCCATTTTTCTCAAGAGAACGGCAAATTATTTCTTCACTTATTAATCTTTCTCGCACTGTCATATCCATATATTTGCTGGGGTTTTCTTCGGCCTCCTTTGCATAACCACACATTCTCGCATCAGTCTGCATTCTATCACGGAATGCTATGGAATCGAGCTTATCTTTTTCAGTAATGGTAACGAATTTGTCAGGATCCTCTTCAAGTTTGATGGCTTTTTCACGAAAACGTACCTCTCGTTGCTCTCTGGTTAAATATCCGGGCGGATATAATATCTGTTGGAGAGGTGCTTCTACTGATTCAATTAATTTCTGGTGATTGAGATTTATCGTCTACAGATTCTACGTGCTCGATCTTGGGAGGCAGAGATATATCGGTAGACTTGGATGACGAAGCAACTGAAGATTCATTTGTTATATAGTCGAAAAGGTTTTGAGTCGTGTTAGTAACTGGTAGAATAGCTATTGTATTCTTACCTTTTTCGATGCAATCGGTAGTTGATAAGGTGAGTTCTACTTTTTCTGGTTCAGGAGATACAATTTCTGATATATCAAATACAGGAATATCCGTGGACGCGTTAGAGGATGCTTCAGCTTCGGACGAGTCTGAAAATTTCTCAATATCACTTATTGACTCACGTAATTTAGCTACGATCTTGGATCGGTCAAGTATGTAGACCCGTACGTGTTTTCCATTAATACGTACCTGTTTTCGTTCAATCCCTATTAATGGTAATTCTTTTCTAAAATTTATAAGGTTAAATATTGTTTTTTTTCCATTACTTCCATACCAGGTTACATATTCTTGATATAGGTTTCCACAAATTGTTTTTTCAATTCGATCTTCGAGCCATATAAAAATATGATCGATTATAAATCGAATTGAAGTTGAAAGCTGTGTTAATATTGTATATGTTTTCATTTTAGTAACTGGAATTTTCCCTGGACTCCAGTTTAACAAATCACGATTAAGAAGATATGTCATCACTACTCCTGGAGCATCGGGATGGTCTAAAATTTCTCCTAATCGGTCAAAATATGGTATATTGCCTCTACATCGTGAAGATACATCAAAGCAGACTATACGAGAATCCCCTATATCTATTTTGAGAGGGGCTTTCTGATTGCTTGTAACCATATATCCTGCAAAATCATTTAATCGTTTAGTTTCAAGACCTTTACGCTCAATAGCTACCGTTCGTTCTGTTATAAGAAATTTGAGATGACCATTAAATCTATGCCATTCTCCACTAGCTATTCCCATTTCATTCATAACAACAAGCTTTCGAGCTTGAATGGTACTATTAAAATACCCAAGAACTTTTTCCAAATCCGATATTGCAAAATGGAGATGTTGTCCTAATACCTTGTCGTCAATAAAATCAGTGATAATATTTTTCCCACACTGCTGTAATGTAGATTTTAGTACTAAGATCGTTCGAGATTTTTTTTTCGGCTTCTGCACTAAATATGCCCACAAATTCCAAATATACTCATTAAGCTCTTCATTCCCATCACAAATCACATTTAATACGTGCCAGAGAATTGGATCCATAATTTCATTGTTAATTTCTGTTACTGGTTTAGTCAAAAATCCTAAGAAAAAGTTAAAGAAATCTGAAACTGGTTGAGGCTTGTTTATGGGGTATGGGAGGAATTCATAATCTTCATAAACTATTAGACCTTTAATAATTGCTCAGTCTATTAATATTTTTAACTTCACCGTTTCACCTCCATATTCTATCATTTTAATCTCAAACTTGGCAAGCTTCAATTCGGACCCTATATCAAAATAAAGTCTTTTTTCAGAATCTTTATGTTTTAGTAACCATATTGGTGTTTTCTTTTGAATATAAGCAACCGTTAATTGGATTGCTTCATAAACTTCGGAGTGAGAAAAATTCTTACCTGAAGTACATATCCGTATTAAGTCACCCCATACAAAACTATCATTTGGGTCCGAAATTCTGAATTGTTCTAATTTTTGAGGGAGTGGCGAAGTTTTTTCCTGATTTTCAGTGATCTCATTAATGATAAGTTTTAATGAAGGTTTTTTTGTACCTTTAGGCATATCTTGATCTGTACGATGACAATAGTAACGATAGGTTTTTCTGTTTCGGATTACATATGCATTTTCATTGCTATGTTCTCGATTACATAGAGGACAATGTGATCCTGTTATACGTCTTAAAGTGAATATATCTGGAGATACAGGATTTGGATATAGAACGTCAAAACCTTCGATATTCATTACATTGAGTAATTTCTCTATATAATCGACCTCAACTCCAATAGTTCCATTATTCGCTTTACTATTTTTCACTTTTTCTTCCAAGATTTCTAAGAGAGGACTATTCATAACTGGTGCCTCATCATTAGTAAAGCTCCCTATAGGGCTCGAGCCCGGTCAAGTCCAAAAAACTTGAGCTTGGCTCGAGCCTAAATTTAAAAGTTGGGCTCAGGCCAAGCTGAGCCCATATAATTTGAGCTTAGCTTGGCTCTCGAGCCTTGATATGAGCTTGCGAACCTTGATATGGGCTCGCAAGCCTTGATATGAGCTCGTGAGCTTTAATATGAATTCACAACTTCTCATGTAAACTTACAAAAAAATATTATTTCAATAATAATATTTATTAAATTGTATAGAGCGATTTTCTACTAAGGTGTTTCTAAGATAGAAAGAAAGATCTTGTTCTTGGTTACAAATAATTTATGTTTCATCCCAGTAGCATCGATATTCGTGAAGTTATTCCAGTTTAAAAGAAAGCGTCTGTGAAAAAATCGTGCAAAAAATTTGTACTAGATTTTTGCATGATTTTTTTACGGATGTTTTTCTTTAAACTAGAATAACTCCGCGAATATCTATGCTACTGAGATGAAACATATATTATTTTGTAGCTAAGAACAAGGCCTTTCTTTCTATCTTAGAAATATTATAGTAGAAAATCACTCTACGATTCCAAAATCGTGAGCGAAATCAAAAAAAATATAAAAAAAATAAAATTTTTACATTTTTTTTACATTTTTTTTTGTTTTTTCAATTCACTCACAATTTACGAAGCGTAAAGCGATTTTCTACTAAGCTATTTCTAAAATATAAAGAACCACCTTGTCCTTGGCTACAAAATGACATGTGTTTCATCTCAACAGCATTGAAATTAGTGGAGTTATACTAGTTTAAAAAATATCAATAAAAAAATCGTGCAAAACTTTTTAGAAAATTTCACCCGATTTTCACAGCCATTTTTTTTTAAACTAGAATAACTCTGCGAATATCGAAGCTATCAGGATGAATCACATATCACTTTGTAGAAAAGAACAAGGCGGTTCTTTCTATCTTAGAAA